CAAGTTAATAATTCATCAATTCAACTCAATTATGCGTAAAACTTCTAATGGATGACTGAAATTTAATGATTTCTAACATTTCATACAACTCTCTTGCTTCCACAGGGGAATAACTAAAACGGAAAATTTTCAAAACATTTTTGACAAACAAATCTATGAATGGATATAGTTTTTAAAACGAACCTTGATGAAGTTGTTAGGATATTCATCCAATATCCCAAAGGAATTATTGGTCAAATCCTATTAGTCGATTTCAAAATTATGGCCGTTTTAACTGTCAAAGTCAAATACTTCATTCAATGTTGTCTCTTATTGGTCATCCTGACTATCAATGTCTCTTCAAATGTTACTTCCTATTGGTCGTCCTAAACTGTCAATGCCACAGAATTCGATGCTGTTTCCTATTCGACCAAAATGTATAAATACGCATTGTCTGCAACGTTTATTGACCACGACCAGGACCAACGCTCGGTCCCAGATCTCTAGTCTGGTATCTTGATTTTCTTCTGGATTCGGACCTCGTACTTTCTGGATGCTTGTAGAATACAGGTTCTACTTCATATTATGTCTTCTTATTTTTACTCAATATGGGGGTTCGGGCAATCGGATTTAAGTAGCATGTCGTGTGTCACCGGATCCTCGATCCTCGCTCTCGTTTTTCCGACTAGGTAAACTCGTAATAGTTCAAGTATATCCTGTAGAGGTGTTTACATGCAGCCATAACAGTAGTTTAGATTAGACTGTTGGATAAAACGTTGAAAATTAATTAAAATTTCGTTTGATGAGATTATTTCACATTGAAAGTGTTGATAGTCGTAAAAATATTGACGAATATTCATACTTTCGGGCAGAGTTTTGGAGGTTTTGTGTTTTTACACATTCGAAATTATCAATCAATCACTGTTAGACCACCATTAGAAATCTGGAAGCACTGGACGACCGTTTCGTCCTGGTATGGGATTCATCAGCAGTGCGCATCCGCGACTCCTGCACCTCACAGGATTCGAACACGGGACCTTCGGTCTTGTGCGCGAACGCCTAACACAAAAATGTTTTACATGTTTGTAGGGTTACAGCAACTAATATACATTTGAGTTTGTTTACGTTTTCATTCGATTAACTTATTTAACAGATAGAGTCATTCACATAACAATAACTTATCTATACCCGCTGTACGTTCATGATTGTCGCGTTTGTGTGAACAGGTAGATGAATGAGCATTGCTTACTGTCTAGACACACATATTCGTTCTACTCCGTTTCATGTTGGCCACTTAAACAAACCAATGACTTATTCATTTTCCAATGTATACTTCTTATGTACATATCAATCGTTTTCTCTTGATTGCTTGCCTTTCGGCGGCACTCGCATATCATTTAACTTTCATTTCGTGTATGTAGTGCACTAATAAAAAACACCAGCGCTTCATTTTCGTCTTCTGATTTATACACCGTTGAGTGTTATACAGTAACGGTTATCAGCACGAGCAGTATACGAAATATAGGAATTATATATCAAATACCGACTTTTATGTTTTGTACTTGATGTAACGACAAACCACTGTACCAAACGTTAGACCCCTCCATTTGAAAATAAGAAGACGGAAGACGTTGGAGAACGCTTATTGTCAGAATCAAAAATATACAATCAAACATGCGTATTTGTACGATTATATAAATGTCGTTTAATATTTTGAACATGAATCAAATATTTCATCATCAACATTTTTCAAATAGTTCGTCATTAATCAAAAAAAATTATCATGAACATTATTCAAATAGTTCATCAATCCACCATGTTCGTGGCTTTCTTCTCGATTGGCTATCCCAACACAGACCGCCACAAGTTATATTCATCAAGAGTTAGGGTAATACTGAAAACTACAGCGTAGGGCGACTGTAATGGATATGGGCTGGTAATAGAATGTTGCACTTCTGAGTCTACATCTGGTAATGATGCATAAAGAACTGATCTGTTCGGCCTGAACACTTGATTACTATTCTTTTTCAGGCTAATATTAATTTCCACTATGGTACAATGCTCTATATCTTCTTCGAAAACTTCAACACCTACTTACTTACTTACGCCTGTTAACCACAATGCAGCATAGGCCGCCCACCAGTTTTCTCCAACCAACTCTGTCCTGGGCTTCCTTCTCCAGTTCTGTCCAATGTTTGTTCATTCCTCTCATATCTTTCTCTATTTCTCGGAAAAGTAATGTGTTCCTTGGCCTTCCTCTTTTCCTTTTGCCTTGAGGGTTCCATGTGAGGGCTTGTCTTGTGACGCAGTTAGGTGCTTTTCGTAATGTGTGTCCTATCCACTTCCACCACTTCTTCCTGATTTCCTCCTCCACTGCAATCTGGTTTGTTCTCTCCCACAGTACGTTGTTGCTGATAGTGTCTGGCCAACGAATCCGAAGTACTTGTATTTTCTGGATGATGGCTTTGGTAGTTATCCAAGTTTCCGCTCCATACGGTATAACTGTCTTGACATTTGTATTGAAAATCCGGAGAATTTCGCTTTTCCCTTTATGTATGTTGAGACCTGCTGCTGCTGTTGCTACACTGGTCGTCTTATCTTGCATTTGTTGTTGTGTGTGCAATAGAAGAACCAGGGAATACTTCAATAGACTGATTTATAATTTTCAAGTCATACCGTGGCTCTGGTAAGTGTTAGTTTATCAACGTATTATGCTCATTGGAAAACTGATTTTTTGATTGCAAGCTGGATTTTTTCCCATTCTAGAAAGAATAATTAAATATGAGGCGGTACCTGATTGTAATCTGATCGATAGTCGTCTATTTATCAAAACTTTCATAAAATTTTGATAGAACAGTGAGAAGAAGTAAATTGATCTGAAAAATAGTGTGATGTATTTGCGCTGTACACATTTCGAACAGTCTGGTCAAGGCATTTTGGTATGAAAATTAATAAAAGGCCAAATAAATAAAAGTTCAAATAGACATAAGGTAATAAAGGAGAGAGAAAATTCACGTAATATGAAAAGAATAAGAAGGGGTAGGAAAATTGTCATATAACCCTGGGCTTAAAGATGTTGAGTGTAGGAATTAACTTCTGAAGACAAATAGAAATAGTTACGTGAAATCCCTAGGCTGATCAAAATTAGACACAAACACCGTCAGATGCCGGCTCAGTGGATTAGAAGTTAGGCGTTTCGAGGTCAATCGTATATCTTTCTTCAACTAAGAGGTGTATTATTTCAGGTGAAACTGAGTCAACTTCAACATCCATTATCATGGTATATTTTAACCTCAAACGTCTGAGTACACAATTGAATGTTTGGGTTAATGTGGAATAATGGGGACTTTTGGTGATTATCAGTTTGAAAGCATCTCACTTTTCTGAGCGTCATTTTTGAACTTCTGTTTAACAGTAGACTGTTTGAAACTTTCCAATATTTGAATGTTATATAAATCATTTACTAAAAGATAGATTAAGAATATGGATGTAAGTTGTACACTATTTTAAAATCAGTTTACGAACTTTAAGGCATAACCGTGTTTCAGATAACAGTTTCAAATATTCAGCTGAATTTCATTGATAAATATTTCTATGCGTAACCAAACTGGAGCATCTTCATCTATTTGTGGCTTTTTTCTCACAAGTCTGGAAGTTCTTCATTATGCAACTATCATTAGATTTGTTTCCTGGACTGGATTGAGTTAGGTAAGTGTATGATAAGACTAAACATCTTGATAGATTAACTCAACTTAGTATATCTAATGTATAATAATTTTTCGAAATTACTTTGACTACTCATAGTAGGCTTAGTTTAAATATGGTAAAATTTTGGTTTTTTCGTCAACTTATGAAATAAATGAGGAAAATTGGTGTGCATTGAGAATATTTGTTTGAAAGAATAGTAAATACGTTTGTGTATGATTGATTTACTTATAAAAAAAGTTATTTGTAACAATTAGACTCAAATAATGCGAAAAATTGATCATTTGACGCTTGTTAAACCAAATGTAACAATTAGATATTTCAATACAAATAATAAATGGTTGATTGTTGTCTACAGTAAACATTGTTTGACCTGGTTGTAATGTCGTTTGGTACCCATCAAAAAGTCTACCCGAAATCTTGATGGAATTCATATTTTCTGAAGGATTTGAAGTTCTGTCGTCCAACTTGGCTTGTCATTGAATTGTGGCCGATTTCATCATAGTGTGGTCCTAAATATAGATTGAAATGTATCGAGATCTAAGTCTAGTGTTTGCGATACCAATCGCCATGACCTCTGTGTTATTATTTACTACTTAAATAT